AATCCTTTCACATTAAAGGATTTAATGTTTATAGCTCTTTTCTTTCAGCATTTAAAAATGGCATGCCTCTTCCTCTACATGGCCTCTACAGTTTCTGATGAGGAATCCACTTAATTCGAATTCATCTTCCTTTATGTATAATGTATCATTTATCCCTGGACTTTTATAAGTTTTTCCTTGGTCTTTAGTTTTAAAGTGTTTAATTATGATATGTCTAAATGTAAATTTTTTTCAGGTTTATTATGTTTATGGTTTGCTTAGATTCTCAAATTTGTAGATTTACATCTTTTACAAAATTCTGTACATTTTTTCCATTACTTTTCTTTTACTACTTTTTCAGTCCCACACTATTTTCCTTTTCATTCTGGACTCTGATTATGCTAGTGCTATATCTCTTGTTACTACTCTACATATTACTGTGGATCTGTTCATTTTAAAAAAATCTATCTTCTCTCTGCTGTTCAGATTGAGTAAATCATATAGATTTGTGTTCAGGCCTACTGATTCTATTCTCTATCATCTCTAGTCTACTGCTGAGACCATGTATTTACTTGGTAGACATAAACATTGTAAAATTTTACATGGAAAGAGAAAGTCAATAAATACATAAATGATAAAATAAATAGAAAAGGATACCTGAAATAGATTCACACAAGTATGCCCAATTAATTTTTGGCAAAGGAACTAAGGCAATTCAATGGAGAAGAAATACCCTTTTCGGTAAATGATGCTAGAGCAATTAGATCATGGATAGAAAGAAAGAAAGAGAGGAAGAAAGAAAGAAAGCAAGCCTGTATCTAAACTTCACATTTCATACAAATATTAAGTAAAATGGATTACAGACTTAAATATAACACAAAACTATGAAGTTTTTAGAAGCAGCACAGGTGAAAGTCTTTGGGATGAGAAATAGGTATATAGTTTTTAGATTTGACACCCAAAGTGTGATCTATATAACAAAAAATTGATAAACTGGACCTCATCAAATTCAAAACATCTACTCTATAAGACAAAAAAAAATGGAAAGGTTTAAAAAACAAAATAAAGAATAGAATAAAATACTTACCAATCACATATCTAATAAGGCCTTGTATCTCAAATATATAAAGAACTCTCAAAACTCATCATTAAATAAATAATCAAATTAGAAATAAGAAAAAAACACATGAATAGACATTTCATCAATGAGGATATACACACAGCAAACACATGAAAAATGTTCAAAATCTTTAGCCATCAGAGAGGTACAAATTAAAACCATAATAAGATATTACTATCCAGAATAGCTAAAATTAAATATAGTGATAACACCAAATATTGATGAAGATGTAGAGAAACTGAGTTGCTCATACATTGCTGATGGGAATTTAAAATGGTACAATCACTGTGGAAAACGGTTTGGTAGATTTTTAAAAGTAAATATAAATTTACCATAGAACCTAGTGAATGTAACCCTAAAAATTTATTCCAGATGAACAAAGACTTATCTTCATACTAAAATCTATACATGAATGTTCATAGCACCTCTACTTGCATTAGCAGAGAACTGAAAACAACCCAGACATTCTTTTATGGATAAATTTTTAAACTGTGGCACATCTGTAGCATGTAATACTACCCAGCAATAAAAAGAAAAAACCATTGATACACACAAGAAACTTGGATGAACTACAAAAAATTATACTGAATGTTAAAAGCCAACCTCAAAAGGATATCTACTGTATGATTTAATTTATGTAGCAGTCTTAATTTAATTATAGAGATGGAGAGCAAATTAGTGGTTGCCAGAGGCTAGGGATGGAGGCACAGAGATGAGTGTGACTATGTGACTATAAAGAAACAATGAGATAGAATCTTGTGGGGATGGTACAGTGGAATGTCTTAATTGTGGTAGTGAGTACACAGGCTACACGTTAAAACTGCATAGAGTCACACACACACACACACACACACACACACACACAGAGGAATATATGTATAACTTGAAAACTGAACTAGCACTATGGGTATACAATGTTAATTTCTTGGTTTTGATGTTGAATTATGGTTATATAGAATGTTAACTTTGGAGAAGAAGGCTAGGGGAAGAATGCAGTAGATTTCCCTGTACCTCCTTCACAACTGCCTGTGAATTTATAATTATTTCAAAATAAAAAGTTCAGTAAAATTAAAAATCTTTTGTTTATAAAGAGCTAAGACAAAGTGAAAAGTTAAGCCATGGAATGGGAGACGGTATTTGATATATCCAACAAAGGATGAATGACCAAAATGTATAAAGGCTTCCTATAACTCAATAATAAAAAGGCAAATTAATTTTTTAAGTGAGCAAAAAATGAGAATGGGCAACTTCAAAAGAGAAAATTGACATATATGAAGCCTGACTAAAAATCACTGGAAATCAAAGAAATGCAAATTTAGACAATATTAATTTGCATCTCACTTACAAAAATAAGTTGTCTTACAATAACAAGTGTGGGTGAACTTGTAAGGTTGCTTCTGCCTAGAAATAGAAAAGCCCAGTTTTTCTTTTTTTCTTTTTCTTTCTTTCCTTTTTTTTTTTGAGACAGTCTTGCTGTGTCACCCAGGCTGGAGTGCAGTGGTGCAATCTCTGCTCACTGCAAACTCTGCCTCCCGGGTTCAAGTGATTCACCCTGTCTCAGCCTCCTGAGTATCTGGGATTACAGGTGCATGCCATCACACCTGGCTAATTTTTTGTCTATTATTAGTAGAGACGGGGTTTCACCATATTGATCAGGCTGGTCTCGAATTCCTGACCTCGTGATCCACCTGCCTCGGCCTCGCAAAGTGCTAGTTGGCCTGATTTTTCTAATTCTATGTGAGTTTATAGAACCTAATTCTCTAGGTTCTATATAATGCATGATAACTATTTTTAATCAAATAGTAAATAGTTACACAACCATACACTTGGATAAATTGGATACATAATTTAAATTTTACTTAACAAATTCTCAGTCACCAAAGGTTACATTTAGAATATATCTAAATACATAGTTGTGGAATTTTTTTCTTTTTCTAATACAAGCTAATAAGTTTTAGCAGTTGAACATTTGAAAATTAAAATAGTTTTATTGTACTTCTATGTGTTGGCTGAGTTAAAATGATAGTAAGAAAAAGAAACAGAATTAGATTCAATAGAAACCCCTACAAGATTAGATATTTATTCAGGAAAAACCAGAAGTTGGCTGACTGATCATATCGTTGAAAGAGACACGAAGAGCAAAAGCTGGGACTTGGGAGTGTACATGAATGGATAGTGGAATGTGCTGATAGAAACCAGGATATAGACTTGTATTCACAACTCTTAAGAAGTTAGGGAATAAATGTATTGTCTTGGCTCTTCATGAAAGATGCATGTGATTTATCTGCCTTGCCAGCCACCGGAATATTGTTTGCTTTCATAGGCAACAAAAGAAGACTTTATGACTGCAAAGAAATGAAACAACTAATAAAAGTAAAACTTTGCAGATACCAAAGCTCTAAAATTTCATGCCATGTTAAATGTTAAATGACTAATAGTAGCAACCCAATCCCAGTACTAATTGTTCTATAGTGTTTGGAAGAAATGTACCTTTACTGTTCTTAAACCCTTCCTAGGAGTAGTAAGTAGATCATGCTTTGGGCTAAAATTATCCCTGCGCTCCCAGTAATCTCAATTGACGTCATCGCTTGGAAAGTGTCAGGAAACTAAAGGAAATAGTTCCTGCTCTTGGTTTGTGTAACCTATTTTTCAAAAGTCCAGGGTATCCTGTTCTTTCCCAGAGGGGGAAAGGAAAGGAATTTCAGAACAAGGACGATGATATACTTTAGGAAGCTGCTATAGGTTACAGGCACCTCTCTGACTTGATAGTAAGGTACATCCACATTTCTAAGTGGGAGAAAAGATCTAGCCAAGGAGAAACACTGGCTTCTGGTGCCACATTGAAAATTACAGGACAAGTTAATAACTAAGTCCATGTGAGCTAGAGCTAACCAGCAAGGGTTGTTCCATGTTTTACTTTTGGCTCAAACTTGGAGTAATATGCATCCCAAAAATGGAGGAGAAAGGGGAAAAATGCTCAAGAAGAGAAAGAAAGGTCTCTTTTTTTGAGGTTTGGGCATCAGGTACTTTTGTTATGAGCTTGAGCAGGAGTTACACTCTGCTCTCTGTAGCATGAGTGGCCCGCAAAGCCAGGGCTAGCCTGCCCACATGCCACATTGCAACTCTGGCGTGTTGCACCTACAGGATAAAACCACTGAAGGGAAGGTTGCTGTGAAAAGGTAAAGCCACAGACTGGGTTAAGGTATTTGTAACACATAACATCAACCATGACTTAATGGCCAGAATATATGAAGAAGTCCTACAAATGAGTAAGAAAAAGACCAACTAATTTTTAAAGTGGGCGAAGATTCACTGGTTCCTTTGGAGGAGAAGAGAAAGAGGCATGTTTGGCCCAGGCCTGTAGGAAAATGCTGGCAAGACTGAATGCAGAGATCCAAGTGTCTGTGCTGCACCAAAGCCACAGAACTGGAGTAGTGCCATGGCCAAGACCTGGAGAGCATGTGGGAGATGTAGCTCTGTGCAGGCATAAGTACTGGCCCTCAAAGCCGGGGCTAGCCTGCCCACATGCTACAGGGAGGCAGGGTACTATTCCTGATTCCCAACCCAGTCTTATTACTATAGGAACACTATTAACAAGATCTAAATGATGATAACTGGGGAAGATATGATATGGCTTGGCCTTGTTCCTGACTCATACTGACTTCTGTTAATGTTATCGGAATTCTACTTGCTCAGTTTCTTAATAGTTGAGATTAGATCAAACACATTCCAGAAGTCGGAATTCAGCACTCTAAAGCATTGACGCAGAGAACTGGATTGGAGATGTGATCTGCCAGACCACCTAATATTCTGAAACATATTCCAAATACCCAAAAAATTATGGGGAGAAATATAAAGGTTAATGCATGAAAAGTGCCCTCTTAAATCACCAACACTCATCTTCCCAAGATAAAACTTTATTTGAAGCATCAAGCAATATACTGAAAAAAGTGTCATGCTCAAGTAATGTTCTTATTTCCATAATTGAACATCTGATACTCTCTGCCCTCTTAAAAAAGGCTGCATAGTGAGCAAAGCTGAGGAGCACATATGCTTTTATACATAACCCTATCTATATGGTTCTTGAGAAAGTCTCCTTTTAATTTCTTTCTTCCTTCCTTAAAAAGTATGTTGGTTTTATCTGGTAAAACTAAGACAAACTAGTTCTTCCACTGAGGATGCACTTTCTCCCAAGTTATTTATGAAATAACGCAGCTGCCTTTTTCTTTAAAGGGGTTCTTGTCTTCTGGAATTCCCTTTACTAGAGGATCCTCTCCAGAACGTTCTTCGATATAGTTCTTTATTTCTTCAGAACATTTAGACACCTTAAGTACAGAAAAAAATTAAAAGAATACGTTAGGTTAGGGTTCTTCAAAGTTTGTCCCTACTCCTTTAATGAAATTAGTGTAATTGAGGATAAGCAGTTTTTAAACATTTTTACATATATATATATGTATGTTTATATATATAATATATATAGTACATATATAAAATCTGGGGTCTGCACTCTAATATTTTTATTCTATCACTGTATCTATGATACAATTTATGTAAAACATATTTCTTAATGTTGGTCATTGGTCAAACTGAAAAATGTTTGAAATCCACTGCATTAAATAAATCATCTCCAGGAATTTTTTTTTCCATTGTGCCTCATTTGGCTTCCTTTCTCTGCCAAAATACAATTATGACATGTCTACAACATTTTAGGAACTAAAATTTAACATGATTATAATTGTCCATGCTAATGAGCAGGTGTGGTAGTAGATAATCCCCAAATGTTTTGGGATGTGTTATGCCACAATTCTCACAGGTATGGACATGTTCTGAAATTTCACAAAATGATAGAAGCTTTTGAAAAAGCCTGACTCTGGAAAGACTGGAGCTGCCCAAATATTGCACTCTGTGTTGCTCCTCAGAATTTTTTCCTGCTGCATGAGGGCAATGATCATAATAAAAGACTTATCTGAGATTTATTAGGCTTATCTGAGAATAAATTTTTTCTGTGATGGAGAAAAAATTGAATAGTTTCTTCAAAAAGTCTATCCTTGAAAGACAGTTTGCAAGAGTGAGTTAAAAAAACAAAGAATAAAAGCAAAAGAAAAAAAAATTAGGGTCCCAATGAAGGCCTGTATTGCTAGTAAGAAATTAAAAGTGAAAATTACAGAACCTCCAGCAAATTTCAGTGTAGACCTCTGAAAACTGGGCAAACATTTCCATTGAATTAGTAATCTAAATTAGTAACCTCAAACTGTTTTAATGGTTACCACTAAAACTTGTTTGCATATGTCTCCCAAAATGAATATAATTCTTCATAAATAAATATAATTATTTAACTAGAAATAAGTGTACTTAACTACAAATAAGTATTTATATTAAATAAATGTAATTATTTAACTATATTTGAATAAGTAGTTATTTGTAGTTAAGTAATTGTATTCATTTTGGGATACATATGCAAACATGTATCCCAAATAAGTACAGATACTACTCTGTTAATACATCATGCAAAATTATAAAACATAAACTGGAAATTATAAATGGGTGAGGTTTAAAACTAAACAGAAATAGAAATGTTAATATTTTACTTCCATGCCCAAAATGATTATCCTTTGCAAACTGGTGTGGAAGCCTCTGACCTCAAATTGAAAACTAGGTGATACACTTCTGTGACTTAAAATCTGGCAAAATAAAGTCTTTCAAGTACAATTATTTCAGGTAACGTTTGCTCTCAATTGTTGCTGACACTCAAGAGTGTGTGCCTTTTAAGTGAATTCTCAAAATTAATAATGCATGTGTCCATAACCTAGGGTCTATGGTCCCATGTTAATTTCTGAACAATATTCATGCTTGCTACATTGAATCTTTTCTTACAAGGTTTTTTTCCTTAGGTTTCAGAAGAGGTCTGTAACCTCCAAATGTGAGTAATTACTCCTCTGATACATTTCCTTCCATAACCAAGAGGGTATGTTTAATCAACATTTAGCTACAGCCAGAATGCAATTTGCAAATTTTGTCTGGGCCTGAGTTAAGGACTGAATACATACACCAGACTTCAACTATTTATTGACTGAATAATGGACTAGGCATGAGAAGAAGAATGTTTTAGTACTTGCCCTATCACTATCTATCTCTGTGGTGTTAAATGAGGAGCTAGTTACCCTTTGTGGGACTCAAGTTTTTATTAAAGTGAGGGAGATGAATGTTTTCTAAGCCTTCCAATGCTTGCCTACCAATAATAATGTATAATTCCAAGTGTTTAATCAAATATCTAGATATTATCATTAAGATTTAGATGCCTCTTTCTGTATTTCCTAAGGATACATGTACCCGATGGTTTTTCTTTCTCTGGCATACACTTGCGGTTTCTGGAGATGGGAAGTTGATGCCACAGGCTGTATTCTAAAGGGTGAGGCCCGCTAGCAGGGAGAAACTGCTAATGGATGATACAGTTAATTTTTACATAGTTGCATCCACATCCCTGTCCCATAGCTAACTTAAAATTCTGAATAAGTAGAAGATATTTGTCTTTTTTCCTAAATTCTGCACAGTGATACCAAATATTAAGCTATTAGAACTTTGTGTAGGCAATGCTGTACTTCAGCATATGAAACTCTGTTTAATATGTAACTCCTAAGGTTTATTGTGTGAACATATCTAAATGGCCAACACTTGCTGTAGTGGGAACTTTGCCATCCATAAAATGAGTCCCTTAAGGTTTCAAGAAGTATGCTTATTGGTTGGATAGCATAACTTCTTTTTTTCCTCATTAAACACATTGGCATTTTTAAAGCTATAAACTCTTAAGATGATAGAAGGGACATCTCATTATAAAAGCTAGCAAGAGCGGGAATTTGGATGTGAAAAGTTAAATTTGAGATAAGAAATATGTAAAAAGTAAAACACAAAAATGCCTGCATATTCTAATCATTGCTCAAGAATAAAAAGACTCTTTCCATTAACAGATTTATTATATCTAGAACAGGAAGGCCAGTGAGCATATTATAATGCTTCATTTCCATTGTTTTTTCTTATTTTTTTTCTAGTGCTGAATCATAATAAATAACATCAGTTCAAAATTTTGTTGCTGAAGAGGAAAGGTTAATTATCTTTAAACAATATGTAATCAAAGACTTTTCTTAGTGTACAGATTGCCTGATTGAGTTAAAACAGGAAGAGGAATTAGTGTCTAAAGGAATGTCCTGATGACCAGTAAGAAACTGAAGTAAAACTTATAAAACTCTCAAAACGTTGCAGTGGAGAATATTGAATACTGGGTCATATGTTCTCACTGAAATGGTAATCTCTATTAGTAGTCTCTAAAACTTTTAAATTGTGATCACTAAAAAAAATTCCATATGCACTTCGGAGTATGTATAATTATTTATAAATAAGCACAGATACAACTGTATTAATCACATACTTATAAAACATAAAGTGAAAATTATAAAAGGATGAGATGTACAAATAAAGAAAAATAGAAATTCTAATATTTTGTCTACAAGTTCCGGTGGACTGTTCTTTGCACATCACTGAAGGCCGCTAGTGAAATTCAAAATTAAATAATGTAGTTGTAAGACTTTAAAATATGGTTTTAGAAAATTTCCTTCAAGTACCATCCTTTCTAGTAGTGTAAAAGATCGAAGAACCAAGTAGCGATCCGCTTTTTTCCTACAAATGAGTTTTGAAAACCAACTGTCTAATGGAAAGCAAGATTTCTTGTCTATTTTTCTCTTCCTAGGCGTCTTAAAAGTTAGGACATTTGGCTTTAAATTCCTTATCAGATCCTTACTCTCTCCTCTACCTCCTACGATTTCCTCACATCAGCTGATAGTCCCCAGGCACTGCCAAAGGGTGGTGAGAAGAGAAGCTAAGGGGGAAAAAATAAACCGAAGTATTTGTTTTACTGTAACTAAGCAGGAAAAACCAGACCCTGCTTCATTTCAGAGAAGGAAATACTCCAGAACAGCCAACTTACTTGTTGTCTCTGCAACTTCACTTCTTTGCGAAGCTGCTCAACTTCCATTTTCAGTTTTTCCTTCTCTGGCAAATCTTCGATGTGAAGGGCAGGCATTTTCGCCCCACAGCTGGGCCCGGGCTAGCTCGGGCAGCGGAGCGGCTGGAAGAGCGGCGAAGCTCGGCGCGGTCCGAAAGAACGGCGGGTCCTGGCCCACCGCCCACCCGCGCAGGACGTGACCGCAGCCTCCCCGCGGTCCCCAGCTCCCCGAGGGCTCGGGCTCGGCTTCCTCCGGGACGCCCCGTCACGCGAGAGCGCCCAGCGTCCTAGGACCTGGGAACTCCTTGCCTTTTCTTAAGTCCCCGCAACCCAGGAGGCCCGCCCGGGTGCTAGGATGGAGTTAAGTTTGAGACTGGGTCCAAGCAGCTTCCCGCTGCTCAGTCGCCCCGCAGGGATGCCTACCCTGGGCAGGCCCTGACTCAGGACCTGCCACTCCCGCGGGGGACTGCTGGGCTGGGGCTGCAGGGCTGGGGACAGCAGAAGTTTTACTTTTTGTTTTCCGAACCCCCACCCCCACCCTTACCCCCCTCCCCGCCGCCCCTTTTTCGGTTTCCAAGTCATATCCGGGATTTGTTTGTGAATCAAGGAAAAGAAGGACACTACCCTAGCAGGAAATAACTGGCCTTCACCTCTCCAAGAGTTTAAAAAATATGCTAGATATAGCTTTTCATATATATAGCTTGGTGAAAATTACATATATAGGTTGGTGCATATATAAGTTGGTGCAAAACTAATTGCGATTTTTGCCACAAGGGCAAAAACTAATTTGTTTTGCACCAACCTAATAAATGCATAGTGGGAAATGGACGCTTAAGAAAAGGCTCAAAAGAAAATGAAGCTCAGCTCTAATCCTCGAAATACCCACCAGTGCTCTGCTGATGTGTATCGATCCAGCCTGTTTAAGGCCTAATATGGATTTATACATTTTGGGGGAGGAGGGTGCAACAGGGTGTGATATCGTTTACAAGTTGCACAGACATTTTCTGTTATTAAACAATCATCTGCATCCTCAACAGCAGCAGAATTTTTATTTTTTTATTTTTTCGGGGCAATGTTTTGTAGAGTGGCACATCAAAGGATGATTAAGAGAAGACAGAAGCAGAAATCTCAACGTTCTTACCAGAAAGACTCTTCACTTCCCAACCCCAAGATTTGGGTGACACTTGACACCAAGGATTTTGAATTTCTGGCTCCTGAATCTTCCTGGATGTAGGCAGTGGATTTATTTAGTATTAGTTTCTCCACTTTCTGGAAAGCGGTATTTACCTAGCTGCTGCTCTGGAAAGCCAGGAAAAATATCCGACGTGAAAAATGTTTACATGCAATAAAACTTTCCCTTTAACTATAAAGTTTTGTTAATTGTGCTCAAAAGAATAGAAGAAAAATCAAACATGAATGTAAGAATTCTTCCCAAGCAGTTGGATATTTCTTTCTTTCCAGAGGCAACTTCCTGCCTCATAAAGTCAAATGCAAGTGAAGAGCGGAGGCATTAACTGAATATTTCAGAGTAGCTGACCCCAGACACCCACGACCATTCGCTGTTTAGGAAGCAGGAGTATTTGTTTATTCCTAGTTTCTTGCCAGGCTTCACTCGTCCTCAATGAATAAATTAGAATAAAAATAACAATGAGCCACTTAATGAAAACTCACTCATAGGCGGGTGTTGAACAATGAGAACACATGGACACGGGAAAGGGAGCACTACACCCTGGGGTCCGTTGGGGGGAAATGGGGGAGGGACGGTGGGGTGGGGAGGTGGGAAGAGATAGCATGGGAAGAAATGACAGATATAGGTGAGGGTGAGGAAGGCAGCAAATCACACTGCCATGTGTGTACCTAAGCAACAATCTTGCATGTTCTTCACATGTACCCCAAAACCTAAAATGCAGTTAAAAAAAAAAAAAGAAAAAGTCACTTAATTTTTCTGGCTTTTGGTTTTCTAATTTGTAAAATGTATAATAAAGCAGGAAAGGTGGTCAGTCAGCTAAGCTATGTTGTGTCTCTAAATGTATTTGTATGTCTATATATGATAAGTCACTTTCACAAAGAAAATGTTTAAGAGCTTCACTTTCAATATTTGAAATACAGGGTTTCCCAGGCTCAAAGTAATTACATCATCTGCTGAAGTTTACTTGTGAGTAAACAGTGAGACGAGACAAATGTCCATCTTTCTCTTCTGCACTAAATTAATTTTTTAAATTTTCTATTACTTAAATTTAAAAGGTTGATTAAAAGTACCTTAAATAAATTAGTGAAAGTAATCAATGTGAATGTGGTCTAAATTAAAAGGTACAGCACCTAAGTTAAATAAATTAATGTGTGTTTGTTCTAAGTCATAAAAATAGAATTATTTTGGCTTGGAAACTTCTTTCCCATGAAATCATCAAGTTGCATAGAGGGATTAAATATTTATAAGCCCATACTGGTTCTTTAACTTTTCCCATCATATTATGAGACATATTAGAGACAAAATACTTATTAGTCTTCTTTTTTATTGTTATTAAATAATTTATATGCTAATAAGTAAATTGATTAAAGTGAATTGCAAAATGTTGACATTGCATGATCACACAGAATTCTGAAAAAGGTTTTGTTGTTGCTATTGGATTTTAAATAGTGAAATAATGAGAACACTTTCTTTTAAACAAAAGGATGTATAGTCTCCTTGCCTAAACACTGAATTTACCTCCCACAGAAGAACCATGTTAAGCAATTTCTCATGTATACTTGCAGAAATAGTCTATCAGCAATATTCAAACGTTTTGAATAAATTTTAAAATGTTTATCCATATCCAATTGTTTTGCTAAGTTTTTACTTACACTTTGCATATTATTGCAATAAAAGTTATTTTACAGGTAGTATGGGTAGAAACCACTCTTTAGTAAAAATGACAGGTGCAACCAAAGATGAACTTTTATGAATTAGCCCACTGTCTTTTCACAGTTTTGTAGAAATTAGTTGATATAAATAAAAGTAACCATTTTCACTTTTAAATTATAAAAGAGTAGCAACCATGAAATTTTTACTTTGGTATGCAAAAATAGGAAAAACAAGTTTTTGATAATTTTTCTAATTTATTATGTTGTTAAAAATCTATATAAAGAAAAATAAACATTGAAGGCAGTTAAACTGGAACTGATTTAACACTAACTTGAACCAAAAAAAGACCAGGATTCTGGCCTTATTTTATCTTGTGACTTTTGCAAGAAACACATTCTTTCTGCTTCTTTATTTGGTATAAGTAAATTAGGTTACCTTTCAAATTCCGCTCTTCTAAAATTTATAGAATTGACTTTTAGAGGCCGAGGCAGGAGAATCACGTGAGACCAAAGGTTCAGGAGTTTGGGAACAGCCTAGACAGCATAATGAGACCCCGTCTCTATAAAACAAACAACAACAACAAAAAAATTAAAACGTGCAAGGTGACTGTTAGGCCATTGAAATGATGGTTTCTTTGAAGAAAGTATTTAATACACATTTTACATGCTCTTGGTTCATTTGATATTTGATATCTGTTAAAACAATCATGAGGCAATTTTCAGGAGCTCATTTGTTGCCTGTAACTACCTACTTACATTTTTTTTTTTTTTTTTTTGAGATGGAGATTTGCTCTTTTTGCCCAGGATGGAGTGCAATGGTGCAATCGCCCCTCACTGCCACCTCTGCCCACCTCCTGGATTCAAGTGATTCTCCTGGCTCAGCCTCCCAAGCAGCTGGGATTACAAGTGAGAGCCACCGTGCCCAGCTATTTTTCATTTTTCTTTTTTTTCAAGTAGAGACGGGGTTTCACCGTGTTGGCCAGGATGATCTTGAACTCCTGACCTCAGGTGATCCTCCAACCTAGGCCTTCCAAAATGCTGGGATTACAGGCGTGAGCCACTACACTGGCCCTCAGATTCCTTTTCTAGATGAAGAGAATGCCAAGTCAAAGAATGATCTATGCCTGATGCTCTGAGTATTTTAGCAACTACCTATAATTCATGATATCAAAATAATTTCTCTGGCCAGGCGTGGTGGCTCACATCTGTAATCCCAGCACTTTGGGAAGCTGAGGTGGGAGGATCATTTGAGGTCAGGAGTTGGAGACCAGCCTGGCTGACATGGCAAAACCCCTTCTCTACTAAAAATACAAAAAAAATTAGTAGGGTGTGGTGGTACAGAATTGCTTGAACCCAGGAGCTAGAGGTTGCAGTGAGTTGAGATTGCACCACTGCACTCTAGCCTGGGCGAGAGAGCGAGGCTCTGTCTCAAAAAACTAAAAAATAAAATAAAGTTTTTAAAAATGATTTCTCTTACCAATTCTGTTTCTACACAACTTTAACTTCCATCATATCTAATTGATCATTCTCAGTACTCGGTTTACTATTTTCCTCATGGTAACACTTTATTTAGGAATTTAGGAAGTTTAATATTAGCTTGGTTTTAAAATCTGGCTAAAATAAAATCAGTCAAAATTAAAATAACAGTGAGGTGTTTTCTTTTTGTTTTGTTTTTTTTTTCTTACTAAAGCTTACACCCACCTGTGTGTGCAAAGTACCTTTAAAGTCCAAGTAGCTCAAATGATATATTGTAGTATCTATAATGGCTAATTCTCATTAATGACACCAGAAAATTTTGTTAAAGAGTCATATGTTAAGGTTGTGTTGGGAGTGGTTTTTGTTGCCTTGTAGTCTTACTTCATTCTCTTTAACCTCGTTACCCCAAACCTGAAATAACCACTTCTGAACAAACACTGACAGTTATAGCTCTGTAGCCTGTGGGACAGTCATGACTTCATTTCCACCTTCCTGGACCATCTTTCTCTATATTTCCTTCCTCTGATTTCTCTCTTATTGAAAACCTGCTGACAATCTGTGTTTTAAGCAACAGGAATTGTACTCTACTGTTTACATTGTACAGACAATTTGTTAGTTGATATGACAGTTACAAAGATGAACACCGCTTCTGGCTTAGGAAATTTCCAATATAGCACTGAAATTAAGAAAATCATAGAAATTATAATAAGAGAAAGTAAAGTAATGTTAAATAAATTAAGAGATACACAAAATACTCTTGAGGTAGATGGGAGAGACAGTCTTATAAGAAGAGTAGGATTTCAAAAGACTGAAATGGGGTGGAATGGAGGGAGATTTTAGGTGGAAGGATCAGTGTGACCAAATTCCAGCTGGTGGGAAAATGTCCACAGGAAGTATAATAATTATAGAGGATATTTATTAGGCTATTTTCTATATACTCATTTCTGATCTGAGGGATTATAAGTATTCAGATAATCTATCCTAATCACTAATTTTATACATGAAAGGAAAAAAATAGGTTCAAAGAGTTGAAATCATTTGTCCAAAGTTCTCACCTGCAAGGAAGAAGAGTCGGGGTTTTAACATAACATCATTGGGCTTCAAAATCTATCTCCAGCTGTAAACTGAAAGCTAGAGATGTTGGTTATGACCATATTCTACATGTTACTGAATGCCATAGCAAATACTTACTTTGTATTTATTTTAATCAGAGAAGAGGGGATATGCGGAAGACTTCAATAAATACTAACTTGCAGATGGAAAACTTCTGGAGACAGACCACAATTAAATAAACAAATAAATTGTAGTATGCCAGATGGTGACAGTGCTATGGAAGAAAACAGAGTGGGAGAGAGAGAGAAGATGCACTTGGTGGAGGTTGGGGGAGCTCTACGGAGAGGGTTTTGTAAATTTAAATAGGAGGAAAAAAAGCTTTTCCTGAGGAAAAATAGATAAGGGTTCAGTAACTAATTCAGGAATCCCTTAATACTCAAAGCATATTTGATGAAGACATGTGGTGGGGTATGTTGCTAACTGTTCAGCCAGAAGCCCAGAGTCTTGACTGGAGAAATGTGTCAGGTCACTTCTCTGAAACTTTATTTTCTCCGTTTCAAAATGAAGGGGTTAGACAAGAGTCAACAGATATTTGTTGAGCATTTATGATGGTCAGAGTTGGAGGGCACTGTGCTAGGAGCCAAAGTTGGTACAACTTTCAGACTCCCTTCCAGACCAAATAATAGATGATCTTAATGTTTTGTTTTGTTTTTTTAGAGGATGACAGTCAGTTAGTATTTCTGAGTATTCTAATCATTGAAGTATACAAAATAACACTGTAAATGTGAGACAGCAACAAGAAAACACAACAAAAGTGGTTCTGATTTGAGTAACTACAACTTGTCATTTGTTACAGAAGCAAGGACAAATTATCTCTTAGTCATTAACACAAAAGTAGTGAAATGTGACTCATGCAAACTTCTGGATGCCAGAAGGACCTGATGTAGGTGATGGTGATTTCTCTATCATGTGTGCTCACCTTGTTATAGAAAAGACTGTGTTGTTGAGAGTCTTCATGAGGAAAGGGCAAAATAGCATGTATCTTAAAGGATTTTGGAAATTTTGTCTAGATCCTTTCTCAGTAATAATACTAGTTAACACTTATTGTATCTTACCATGGGCCAGGTAATACGCTGTTATAGTTGCATTAGTGTACTATTTAACCCCCATACAAGACAGAAGATACAACCATTATTTTCTTCATCCTATGCTAGAAGAAACAAATTTAGAAAGAATTAAGTAGCTTATCCAAAGTCAGTTAGGCAGTAAAGTGGCAGAGCCAGAACTGTCTGGCTCCTAAATGCATGCTCATGACCATGATTCTGCTGTGGTTAAATTCACTGTGCTCTGTGACCACAGGCTGAACCCTTAAGCCAGTTGGCATTCTGAGGAAAAGTCATAAGATAGGTGACCTGTGTATCAGAAGAATAAGCTTCCTAATTTGTAAGCAAAAGAAAGGTTGGGAAGGAAAATAGAAATCTAACCATAAAATTTCTGGGTAGAAAGCTATAAATGTTGAAAGGAAAGTGAAAAAACATAAAACAGTAAATACATGTTGACAACTTAGAAAAATATAGACTCACTCATAAAACATAGTAATTCTTTTTAAAGAAAGTTAAGCAAAATTTATTGTCAATTATATATTAACCCCTGTGCTAGATTTGTTAAGAAAAACATAGACTGATGGGTTACCTCATCCCAATTTTTATTAAAAGTTTGCATCTATAAATTTAAAAATCATATACGTGCTTAGTAATAGTATTACATATGCGAAAAATCCATATTGTCGTTAACATTTGAGATATTCTCAAGGATTTTTTTTTTAATTTTTTTTTTTTTTGTATTATGAAATCACGCAACCTCCTTTGAGTTCCTTGAAGGGATTTTTTTCCTCTGGGACGCCCTTTACCAGTGGATCCTCGCCAGATCGTTCTTCAACGTAATCTCTTACTTCTTCACAACATTTGGATACCTTAAGGGGTAAGAAAAAGGGATGACTCATTTAGTTTAAAGCAGAATACTCCAGATGCCAATAATTATTTATTACAATAAATTTTCATGTTGTATATTTTCTGTATGATTCTCTCTGCTTTCCGCCAATGCATGTACTTTGTAGGAAAGAAGAAAGTTGCTCCCTTCCCAGTCCTCCTGGATATATCTCCAGACAAAGAAAAACAGCTGGCCACACTCCAGCTAAAGATTCCCAACAGACACTGCCTCCAACTTCAAAGGAGACAAGACCCAGGGATCAGAACATAGCTGGCAACAGAAGTCAAGGGTGTCACCAGAGTTCATGTTGATTAAATCTTTTTCCTCATTCCAAAAATGTGACTTGTAAAGCTTGAAGATAATGAATAATTATTAAATTCCAGGCTTATCATCATCTCCGAATTCTCAGAAGTAGACACATATAATTTTACCTCACACTTACCTATAATGACTGATCATGGCGGTGCACTAGGTGAGCTCCAAGGGGTCAGGGACCTTTGGCTGATTTGTTCAATGTATCTCAGGCATCTAGAACATAGCCTGTGTTCTTCAGTGCTCAGTGAATAATTTGCTGGACTGAATTATTCATTTTGTTTATGAGCTTGCTCTTCACTTATCTGCACCATTATAGTAATGATTTAGTGAAAAATCAGGTCGTAACATTTTAATGGACTCAGTTAGAGCCTGTTAATGTCCCACTTAATGTTCCTTCTAGAGAGAGGTGGTATTCAATACATATGTAAATATACATACACACACACACACACACACACACACACACAAAATCAAATTATTCAAACTCTTTTAGCTTCAACATGTTTTGTTTTCAATTAGTGTATCTTTCATGACAGTAACACCGAGCTACTTTATTTTTGTCAGTCTACTAAGTGGCCATTCCATGGGTCATTTCACCATTTTACTGGTTTTCCAAATGAAATCTTTCTGCCACTTTGTATGTAAATTCAAAGGAACATTTGATATAAGACTTAAGATTATTTTACAACTATGCAAACTCATTATCTACATATTAGAACAAATTATTTTCAACTCTGGCAAGGAAGCATTTGTTAGGTTAGGTTCTTCCTTCAAAGGATGATACTTGCAGATTTACAAAACTTTTACATATGCATTAATTTAGATTCACTTTTTTCCCCTCTTCCTCAATGGTCCCACACTCTCCTCCAAAAGCCACTGCTTTTGGCTCCACACAGATGACAGGAACAGAGGTATAAATTGCTATCCTTAATTCAGTAGTCAGTAAAGGGTTGGTTTTGACAGTGCCTGGCTAGGATCTGAGGATATGAGAATGGGAGGAACAAACTACTTAAAATTCTACGTATGTATAGGTTTAAAAATTATTTCAATGAGGCTTATTAGAAATCTATGTAGTTTAACACAGGATTACAAGGCTCTTCTCATTTACTAGCTATACAGCCTAAGTTAAAGCAGTTCATCTAAGGTACATTTACTTCATGTATAAAATAGGAATAGCTGCATTGGTGGCCTTAAATGCCTAACAGGTGCCTGGCACAAAAAGATGCATAATCAAATGGTAGCTATTTTTAGCTATTACTACAAAGATTGTCTTTAGTTATTGCCTATTACATTGACTTATAGGCATTGCAAATCTGCAACTTTAGAAACTGGATGCAAAGACTTGTCTTACTAAAAAAAATTGAAGTATAATATGAATCAGTCTCATTCATAGAATCAATAATAATAATTTTAGGATAATAATAATATAATGATATAATGCACTTGCTATTACTAGGCATTGTTCTCAGAGCTTTGCATATATTATCTTGTTTATTCCTCCCAATTATCCTCTGAATTAGATGCTATTACTATTGCTGTTTTGAAGAAACAGAGGCAAAGGTAAATTATAAAACATAGATAAGGGTTACACAGGCAGAAAGTTGTTGTGGAGCAAGAATCTGAGCTGGGAATATGGTTTCAGAGTATATCCAATTAACCATACTGTACTGATTATCCACTTAACCACTTACCCATACTGAGTATATCCACTTAACCATACTGTACTGATTGTACATCAGAGCTAGGGGATCACGACCTGGAAGTTCCGTTTTAAATAGAATGTGTATATTTATTATATATTATATAAATATTTCTATATATTACATATATTTCTACATATATATATATATTTATTTTGGAGGACACAAATATTCAACCTGATACATATATATGTGTATAAATATATGTATATATGTGTGTGTATATATGTATATGTGTATATATGTATATATGTGTGTGTATATATGTGTGTATATATATATGTGTATCAGGTTGAATATTTGTGTCCTCCAAAAATTTATTTGTTGAATTCCTAACCCCTAAGGTGAGGTTTTTGGTAGGTGATTAGGTGATGAAGACAGAGCTCTCATAAACAGGATTACTGTCCTTATAAAGAGACCCCAGAGAGCTTCCTCACCCCTTTCAACAGGTGAGGAAAAAGTGTAAAGACAGGTGTTCATGAAGGAGGGATCAGGCCCTGGCTAGACACGGAATCTGCTGGTGCCTTGATCTTTTATGTCCCAGCTTCCAGAACTGTGAGAAATACATTTCTGTTGGTTATAAGACACCCAGTCTATGGTATTCTGGTACAGCAGCCTGAACAGACTAAGAGAGTACATGTATATGTATGTGTGTGTGTGTGTGTGTGTGTGTGTGTGTGTGTGTATGTATGTGTGTTTGTGTATGTATATATGGAGTTTTTGCAGTCTGCTATTAAATTGCTTTGATTTCCAAGAAAAGAGAGACACTGAATACTAGGGAAAAGGAACCCCAAAGCCTGATGAATGGCGATATATGTGATGTTTACCCAAAATAAAGAGTCCAAGGTGAACTTAACACAGTGAATAATAAACAGGAAGACAACCACTTTGCCTACAAACCAGCAATCCTGATAATAAAACAGCTTTTGGATATTTCTACTTAAGAAGAGAAAACTTTTCTTTACCCCAAAGTGTATTTTATTTACCCTGAATTGTAAAAATAAGGACTTTAACTTGTTTGGTGTACGTTCTAAGCTTTAGATTTAATTTTATCTTTACAGCAAAACATGTTTTACCTGTATGGAAAGAGCAACAGGGGAGTTTGAGATTATTATAAACATAGATGAAGCCAAAAATCCCAGTTTTGACTGGGAGTAGGCATTTTGAACAAAGTATGAAGATAACAAAAACTCCTTTTTTACTTTGTCCTGATAAAATGAGATGTTTTTAAAATGTAAGATATGCTATTACCACTTGTGGAGTTTTTATTCTACTATTAATAACTTTCCTAAAATGAAGAGATCTAAAATACATATCCACGTTCTCCAAGCTTTTAGCAGTCACTGTTTGTTTAGTGGTTTATTCCTTTGCCATTTCTGCTCCTTCTACTGGCAGTGAACCCTTTCCAAGATTTGTCAGATGTTTTTAGGAGAAACCAGGTAAGTTCTTATGTTTGAACTCATCTTAATTTACCAAAGAAGAGTAGAATGTATTCATTTATTACTGACCATAACAGTGCAGGAAGGGATGAAACTATAGCTTAAAGCATTACAGCAATATTAAAACTTTCTATCAAAATATTAATATAAAAATATTGCATTATAAAGAGAGGTTTAGAAAAGTAAAAACAAAATGCCTGTATGTATTGCATGTATATATTCATTTTACTGCTTAGCTAAAATATGGTTTCTCTTTCATATTCTCTACTTTCTCTCTTCTTTTTTCTTTTCTTTCTTGCTCTTTTTTTCTTTTTTACAACTCCTTAAAAATATAAGAGCATTCCTATCTTAGTGGTCATACAAAAAGAAGCTATGGATTGGGTTTGGCCATTAAAAAAATTGTTTGCCAATCTCCTTGATTTAGAATCTAAATCAAGAGATGATTGTGATTTATTATTAATTTTCTTAATCTTTGATAATTTTTTACATGAACAATTTAGTTATAACTACATTGAACCTTTTCAGTCAATATTTTCTAACCTGGTATTCCCACAATATCTCTAGTTTAAAATAAAATTCTAAAGAAAGCAGTAACTTACTAGCATTCTTTCCAGTGTCACTTCTTTCTTGAGCTGGTCAACTTCCATCTTCAATTTGTCCTTCTCTGTCAGGTCCTCAATATTGATTACTGGCATCTTTTTGCCTGCTGAAAATGTAGAAGGTTAGCACCTACACATGAATTGCTGGAGTTGTTTCAAGTCAGTCTTAGTCAACACTTCACTTAGCTCTTAACTTACAAAGTAAACTGTTCTTTGTTTTATTTTAAATATCTCACAATAACCAATTTCTCATGAGCTCTCTCTCTTAACAATTCTGTCAATGCACACTAACCTTGGGATTTTAAAGCTTCTTCCTAATCTTCACTAATATGATTAAGTCGGGCATTTGACCCTAGACACCTGTCAGTAGGTTTGTCGGGAGGGGTGGATTTAGTCAGCATATAATTTAAAATCTTAAAGCTGCTCCTTGCCCCTGGGCTTTTGTACAGTGTAGAATTTTGGGTTTCCAATCCTTACCTTCAATTCCAAAACCCTTCAACCGTATGTTTTATGTCATTTAACTTAGTTTGAGGTCATTTGGAGGACTGTCCACTAATTCCCTAAATCTCTAGAGTATTTAATCTGGTATTAAAAGGGAACCACATAAAAAGTATCACTATAAGTTCATTATAAATAATGGATTGAAATTTGTACCCATCAAATGGAAATATAGTAAACAAACAGACTTCTTAATCAGAAATAAATGAATGTATTACTTAGAAGTGTTTTGCAACAACACCTGGAATTTGCCTGTAACTGTCACAATGAATCTAGTAACAACGATGAGCAAATTTAGCAGGTTAAATGGGACATAGCAAGTGTGATCTACCAATAGACATCCTACTAGAAGAACAGACTCTTCTGCCCTCTTAACAATTCCTCTTCTCCCCAGTTAGACCATGGGTACTTGGGAAAAAGGCTCAGTAGCTGGTGATATTCCTGTGAAATTACCTGGGAAAGATTTAAGTGTAGCCAAGTGGCATTGTGCCTGTAGTGTCTCCCTCTTCTCCCTATCCAAATTTTACAATGAATGATTGTAAAAGTAAGCATATTCAGATCACACACTATTTCAGAGAACAACATAACATTTTACATCTACATGAAAATATTCTGCTAGTAATATATCAGCAATTAACTTATTTCCTTGTATTTAGATGGTGTTTTCATTTCCAAAATCTTTGAAGAAAGATTCTTTCCCTTTCCAGTCTTATAATACCCTGTTCTTCTCTGGATAAGTTGTAGTTTAAGATATTTTTAAGGGACAAATGCCTACATAGGTCAACTATTTTCTAGAGGTAGAAAATAATACACTACGGGTACCTGAACCCAATGTTTCCTCTGTTTTTATTTTTGCTATTCTGTTCTTTAAGAAACAATATGACTATACAAAGGTAATTTCTTCCTGTATAATCCTGTTTTGAATTTAGGAGCCCAAATTTTAATCTCAATTTCCTTCCCACTCCTTTAGACTAAATATAAAGGTTCATATTTTTGATGATAATTTTTACCTTTTGACATTGTTCATTGCACAACTTTTCTTCATTTTGGAAAACTTTTAATTCCTCTAGATAACGGTTCTTCACACTTCAGTGTGTGGAGGAATCACTTAAGGAAACTCATTAAAGTTATGAGTCCAACCTTAGACTTTCTAATTTAGTAGATCTTGGGTAGGGTTTAGAATTTCATTTTCTCTACTCTAGGAAGCCCTCTCACATACTTGCCAACAAAACAGTCATTTACTGGTGCTTGCTAGCTGTGTCATCCTCATCAAGTTACTTAACCTGTCTGTGCCTTAGTTTACAGGGAAATAGGGGCAATAATATTACCTACCATGTAGATTTGTTGAGAAGATTAAATGGGGGTAACATAGGTAAGGACTTTGTAACAGCATGCAATACAGAGCAAGCACTCGCATGTTAGCTGGTGTTATTCACTCTGTTGTACTTCTGGAATTTCAAACTGTAGTTTCATATATGGCCCTTGTCATATAATATAGGTGATCTTAGGTACTCTTAAAGGAGATAGGTAGTATTATCGATAAGCTTAAAGGAGATCATGTGTACATAATTTCGCTCCTTTGATATCATGCATTGCAGGTGCTGCGGTTGCTCTGCTCAGCTTTCTTTTTTTTTCCAGGGTAAGATACCTAGTCTGCAGCAGCTGCAGATGTTGACTGTCAAGGGCAAACTTTTTGCACATGTTGGCTCTTGGCTGATGGGCAACACTTCTTCTTGTGATGCCTGGGAGATTATGCTCCCGTCTGACCCCTAAGGTTGACTTGGAGCAAAAGTCAGGCTGATGTGGGGTTCTATCAGCCTAACCCCCTTGCTTCTGGGCTGAAAAACTTTGTTGCAATTGTGAAACTTCCAGAGCTTTCTATGGGTTAAGAATGATGCTAGACTTCTGAAACCACTTTTTACTAACTTCTCCTCTTGCCCTATCCTAATTTCCTTACTCCTTTAGCAATTTCTCCTGACAGCTTGCCCTAAAACTTACTTAGACAAGAATTCTTGTCTTAGGCTTTGCTTCTAGGAACTCCAATCTAAGACACAGTGGATTTTTAGACCCTTTACAAGAGAGGTCATAAATTGCATAACTTTTTCATGTCCTCATTGCTTTCTATTGTTCTGTATATTGTTTGGTATATAGAAGAGATCAGGAAGTATTGATAAAGTCACCTAACCTCTGTCATATGCATTTACCTAAACAGAAAAGAATCCAAATTTTCTAACTTTATTTTATTAGTAAATGATTTCTTAACTCTAAAATGCTGTGATTGACCATGCTCAATAATATTAAACATTAAAATCACTTTGTTTAAAGCAAATATATTATTAGAATATTCTAGAATTCTTACCAGATTTGATGGCATGGGTCTCAGATGAAAAAATCAGAGTGGGGATCAAAATTTTTACTTATTTCAAGTATACAAAGAAGGACAGTGAATATTATGGAGATTCCAAGTGTTTAGTGTTCTATTGAAGTCAATGGTCCAAATAATTCAAATATAATATTGTCTACTTTATCACCTATTCCATTTTGCAGATGCAGCAAAGGCATTCCAGCAAGTTTGAATGCCCAAATGACACAATGAGGGGCAGTTCAGCTGGGGTTACAACACAGGTGTTTGTTTTCTGAGATGGGGTGTTTTTCATTCCAGCACATCTCTCTCAAACTAGTATAAAGGAGTGGATTTGTTTTTTCATACCCAGAATGACATAGAAAGTCCAGAGTTGATGACAAATAGCATTAAGGCTGCCTCTCATATTCTAAGCTTTCAGGTTGGTCAATCTCTCCACAAAAAGTCCTAATAGACTAGATCAGATTATTGACCCTTTTGCCAACCATCCCCACCCCACCTTTAGTCAAAATTTAAGGGGAAGACTGAAGACCTATAGCCAAACAAGCTAAGATTGCTATTACAGCCAGCCCAGGGGGAAACCATACCCCAGTTAAGATGTTTGCCCTTTCACTTCTTCATCCATCCTGCACTACCATCAGAGTATTGAAGGGCCAATAAAAGGCAAGACGGTGGGATTGGGGGAGGTATTTCAGAGCTGTAGCCCATTCACAGATCCCTGGTTCTCAATGGGGGCAATACTTCCCCCTAGGGGCCCTTATGAAAATATATCAGCTTGTTTATAAAGATATTCTGTAGTTTTTGCAGGTATGGATAAGGAAGGTCAGATATGTTGCATTTTCCGGGATCCTGCTGCATAAGATGAAATGTGACACATTCAGCATGACTGTCAAATATCATGTCAGACTTCCACATAGGCAGAAACCATAGTTACAGTTCTTTGAATCTTGAAACACTTCATTTTACATAGAAACAAAATATTTTTCATGGTTATTATGGATACTTTTTACAATAATGCATATAATAAAAGGGAGACCATACAACAGTAATTTTTTTCTCTTTCAGAAAATCATCACTCATTGTAGCCATAGGCTTGATATATATGTCAGTCTTTATTCTCAGCTGCTATGTCCAGATGTTTTTTATACACAAAAAACATCTATTTTATTATGTACAGTCATGATGAATACTTTCATATTATATTTAATCTATATAATTTGCTGCATTTTTGTATTTTATAAATATAATTTAGGTACTGTGATGATTAATACTGAGTGTCAACTTGATTGGACTGAAGGATGCAAAGTATTGATCCTGGGTGTGTCTGTGAGGGTATTGCCAAAGGAGCTTAACATTTGAGTCAGTAGGCTGAAAAAGGCAGACCCACCCTTAATCTAGGCAGGCACAATCAAATCAGCTGCCACCATGGTCAGAATAAAAAGCAGGCAGAACAAGATGAAAAGGCTAGACTGGCTTAGCCTCCCAGCCTACATTTTTCTCCTGTGCTGGATGCTTCCTGCCCTTAAACATCAGACTCCAAGTTCTTCAGCTTTGGGACTCAGAATAGCTTCCTTGCTCCTCACTTTGCAGACAGCCTATTACACACTTTGTGATTGTGTGAGTTAATACTCCTTAATAAACTCCTAGATAGATAGATAGATAGATATATCCTACTAGTTCTGTTCCTCTAGAGAACCCTAACTAATACAGGTACCATACTGATGGGTTTGGTGGGGTTTCTTGAGACAGGGTCTCACTCTGTCACGCAGGCTGGAGTGCAGTGATGTGATCACTGCTCACTGCAGCCTTGACCTCCCAGGTCCAAGTGATCCTCCTACCTCAGCCTCCTGAGTAGCTGGGACTACAGGCATATGCCACCATGTCCAGTGAATGTAAATTTTTTTAATAGAGATAGGATCTTGCCATATTGCCCAGGCTGATCTCAAACTCCTGAGCTGAAGCGATCCTCCTGCCTCACCCTCCCTATATTGATGGCTTTAAATAGGCCATTGTGAAACATTTCTTGGACAAATGGGACTCAGAATTCAATGGAATTCATGGTCATAGAGCTCCAGAAGTGGTGGAGGAAACGTACATTGCCTTGACTTTTCTTGGTCTTAAATACTAGAATGAGTTTTTATTAGCCAAATATGGCCCACAATAATGATATCAGTTTAAATGATTGTTAAAGATTGTTAAAGGAGTAGCTACTCATTGGGAAATGGTAGTTCAACACGGCATAGT